TTAATTTTTAGGTAGAATTAGTGACCAGTTCAGCAATATTCCACACTATAACAAGCTTAAAAACCAAGATTCTGCACAACATATTGTAGCTGAAGCTGTCGGGAACGGTGGACACTAACTCAAGGTAAAATGAGTTCAAGATGAAATGATAAACTCTTCAGTTTTATTTACTGGAGACATAATAAAAAAAAAAGTCTGAACCTATCATGAGGAACTATGTACCTTATGAGAGGCAGTAAATAGAAGTGGCTGCATTTTTCCACAAGCCCCCACATTAGATAGCACCACAAAGCACCAGGCCTAGGTAGTAAAACCTGTTTTTCTGACCACCCCTACTAGAAGATCTTGGTGTGAGTGTTAAAGCCTATAATTAACATTTTTCTTTTCAGAGTTCCTTTTTTTACTGCAACAGACTGATACTTTTGGTAGCCTAACATATGCTCCAAACCAGTGTGGGTGAGACACTGTATCACAGCAATAACAAAATATTTCCCTAGCATAAATACTGAGAATGTATATCACTCCATTTCTGTATGCATAGCAACGTAAGTCTAAAGCTTCCCAAACTTCAAAATTGCAACTGCACAACTGTGAATAGTTACAGAAATTACACAACAACTCTGCTCAATAAATCTAAAACAAACACACAAGTACTATGGACTTATAATGCAACATTATAACATAAAATCTTTTATGCAATGAACTGTAATCACATATTGTGTAAAAAGTTTAAGACCAGATCATAATTGGGCAGGGCTACTTTGTGCAAATATGAAATTCACTGAAAAGTAACGTGCCTCTCCTCAGTGGAAAAACACAAGATCCAATGCAAAAACTTTCATCATTCTTGCTTCCTCGACACATGTATTCCATGACAGTTAGAAGTGTCTGTAGTACAAAATAACATGTCAAGAACGGTATGTCTATACACATACAGGTAAATCAGGTGCACCATACCTGCAAGTTCCCTATATAAAAAATAAAAAGAATAGGGTTCTGGTAGAAGGGAACCTGAAACATGCTACTATCAGATCTGTGATAAAGAGGAAAGACGTGATTCCTCCATGGAGCCCATGAAATTACTATCACCAATGATCCGTGAAGTCACAACACAAAGCATATTTTTCCTCTTACAACAGCTGTTATAAGTTATAACCTGTTACAAGTTGGGTTATAAGACTCAAAACCAGAACACTTGCTGGTTTTGAAGGCCTATGATAAACTAATCCCAACTGTTAGGTCTGTAACAAAACACAACTATTTCACTTCAAGCATGCAAAGAAATGGATCGCACAAATTCCAGAGCTAAAGAAATATCACACCTGTTTCACTTCATTTCTTAAACAAAGAAAGAACAAAACCTACAGCTTTTGTTATCATACATATTCATGGTTATTTCAGACATTCAGCCTCACTGGGCAAACAGCAATTCATCTAGAGTGAGGCTCTGTATTTTCTCTATGCTAAAACCACCACCTGATTTTAATAGTGGAAGCAAGTGGTACAAAAACCAAAACTTCTAACACTGCATGCAGACTGCAAACCTGACTCTACCAAAATACCAGGATCTCCACTGACTTATGTGAAGTTGGGACTTTTTTTTTTTCCCTAGACTACACATCTTACAATAAAGCAGCATCAACTTTTTTTAGTACAGTGGAACCTTCTCTGTATTTCTCTGTTTGGATATTATCCAATATTTATCACAGCGTGTTATCTGAAGTTATATATAGTCTTTCTACATTTCTGAGATAAGCAGGATGTCTTTCCATAACATAGGATTAAGGCATTACCTACACACACGCCTGAGAAATACAGACATAACCATAGATACATATTCATCAGTGTTCATCAAGCACACTTGTGCTTGAACATACACATACACAAAAGCGACGTAAGCTTTGTGTTTTTTAAATTGCTAATTATCAACCAGCAGAGTAGACTTTGGGATTCATAGACTTGAATTCATAGACTTTGTCCTGAATGTGCAGACTGCATGGCATGATGGTGATCTGCTTAGTCATGAGGGAATGGGGTGACTGATGCAAGTCCACAAAGCATCACCTGGTAGCTGATTCCACACAACCTGGTTTTTGAGGTAGTTACAAATCTTCCTCCTTCCTAAGCAGGACATATTATTTCCTATCTACAGTGAAAGTCAGTAAACAGCAACAGACAATTAGGTGCTGCTTAGAACTTTTTTTTTTTTTTGCTGTAAGTTTGCTATAAAAAAAAAAAAAAAAAACCTTTTTTTTTTTTTTTTTTTCCTATTTGCAGTCATGCAGGTCAGAAACTATTCCTTTTGTATGAATCTATTAACGCTGCAAGCATAAATCAAATCATTGGAAATGTGAATTAAAAGTTTTGCATCGATCTCACCACGACATCCTGTCTCCATCACAAATCTGTAATTATTTGTGTTCTCACGACACAGATCACATGGTATTAGAGACAGGGAAAACCTTTTCATGTGAGTGAGAAGGAAGACGGCTCAAACCTTGACTGGGCTGTTAGGCATTACTTCAGTATAGGTAATTAAACATACCTGTGTTGTTCATGTGTCATGAACTGTAATCAGAGAATGATGCAATTCTTTAGTTCAGTTGAGTTCAATCACTCAATTCTTGAGTTGTTTAGGAGGGGACAAACAGATCAAATAAATGCTGAAAGGTGAGGTTGGAGAGGGAGGAATATTGGAGTGTGATCAAACTGTGTCAAGTTCCGTGAGACACAAAGTCTGCACATGGGCCTTGCTTCCCCCATTTTCCATAAGCTAGCAGGGAAAACAAACAAAAAAATCTGCAAAAATTAGGCTTATATTTGCTTTGTTATGTATTAGAAAAAATAACCACTACAAAACAGCAGCTGGGGTGGCAGGGAGAAAACCAGCGAAGCAGAAGAAATATTAGAGGTTTATCATCTAACACGGGATTCAATTCACACTTCACGTTCATGGGAATCTAAATATCTGAAGACAAATTTTCACTTTTGGTCATCTTTGGGAATGTCTTTGTAGTCAAACAAGACAACAGCCCACCAAAAAAAGAGGCACACATGAGGATTTTTTCAAAGTGCTCTATAGCAGGCAAATCCCTAAGATCTGACCTGCTGCTGGGAAACCCCACATTCTGTCTGTGACATGGGTACAGAGGAGTTGAGCATAACAGCACTCTCTTTTCTTGTATTATTTCTAACTCTTTCTTTTTACAGTTCACAAAAAGTTACTTGACACACAGAGAACATTTGTTATAAAGGGCCTGAAAAACAGATCCCTAAAATAAAAAAGGAATAATGGTTATGGAAATACAGTCAAGAGTAATTAGGAACCATGTAACATCATGCTAAGTTGGGATAGAGTCTGTTATTAAATAAGTCTACCAGTGACTAATAAGATGAAACTAGTAGCAACTACCAATGGAGAGTATTGTATCCCCGATTTCAAGAGAACCCAGCATGGAGAATTCATAATTGTATCTTAATTTCTTTTGGGTAACTGTCCTGAAAACTGTTTTACTGTATGTTAGAAGACAGCAGTGGAAAAACTCTTGCAATAAAAAACTAGTAAAAGAAACTCAAGTTCTGAATATCAAATGCAAATATCTAGTGATGCACAGTTAAGCTATAAAACCTGGCCAGTAAATATAAAACTGTTAAGGATAGCACTAAATATGTGAAAAAGAAAAGGAGGCCTTAACAATGGAAGATGGAAAACAAGAACCCAAAGTATACTTTTAATTGTGTATTCCAATCTTATATAATACAGAATTTTCTTTCTACTTTTAAACTTCACCCTATTACTACAACATAATTTCCTGCAAAATTGATTTTTATTAGTCGTTAGAAGTAGAAAACTATATGCTGATAATAATTGAAGGCTGACCTACATTTTACTGATTTCTAAATGGACACAGGTATCTCCAAAAAAAAAAAAAAAAAAAAAATCACAAAAGAATCAGAAACAACATTGATAGTGAGTTTTTAATCAACATCATACAGAAAGCTGAAAGGCATCACTCCAATATTCAACTGAATTCTAATAGCTTGCCACCTACTTTTTGTGATATTTCCTTATATGAACTATACATTTATATTGCAAAAGAAAGATCATTATTTGTGTAATGAACACACAGTAATTGAAGTACCATTGAGCAGTATAGTTTAATAATTTGTGATATCCAGGAATCTGACACAGAGGCATTGCTGAAAACTGCAGTTTACAAACAGATGGTCACTAACTACTAACAGTTAACGGTATGTCCTACAAAACTGATGTCTAAGAATATTCAAACTCAAAAGCTATGTAAAAACACTTTTAAATTATACGTATGTATATCATTGGTTATCAGTCAAAGCCTATGCCAAATATTTTTCCAGTTCTCTTCCCCCTGACAAGTTCATGCTTATATTGCATCACATGCCTTAACACACTGTGAGATTTCTTGCAATCTTTTAATTAAATCTCTAAGCATTTTGCAGCTATTTTTTGTAGCAGCCACAGAGAATAATGATGCCAAACACATCATGCAATAAACCCTGTTATTAACGCAAGCAAAATGTATGAAACTTCTTCCCCAAGGACAGCACTGAGTGCCACGACATACACAGCTGATGTACACTAGAATTTTTCTTAGTTAACTAGTAACAAATTATAGTCATGTATTAAAAGCTAAATTACTGATTAATTGCTACCAGAAATACACATCTTTATACAATTTTGTTTTGGATACTCATGTTTAAATGGAACAATACAATCACGTCTCATGGTGAGCTTGTTCAGAGATGGAGCAGCAGGTTGCAAATGGAAGGCTAGCCCACAGCCTCAGTTATTTCCAGTTAACTGTAATCCACCCTTCTGATTTAAAGGCATCTACAGCCCACAGCATGGGGAGAAACCGATAATTTCCTGAGCTCTTCATCAGAGTAAATACTAGCCTTACGTCACTGATTATTAATAAATACATCACTGTTAAGTCAGCATTGTATGCTCGTGTGTACACAGTGCCGTGAAGTTACAACACCACAGGAACTTGCACTCTCCAGTTGTAGAATACCCTGGAGAGAAATGACACCAGGAAGATTACAAAACGCCCCTGCAGACCTGAGGCATACCATCAAGACACAGCATATTTCAACACGGCATCTCACTTGTTGCAGGCTCGTAAGGGCTCCCTGACTCGCTGCGGTTGAGAAATCGAACAAAAAAAAAGGGGAAAAAAGAAGAAGAAGAAAAAAAAAAAAACAACGCAAAAGCCAAACCTCTTTTCATTCATTAAGCGCATCGGCCAGGTGAGCACCACCAGAGAGCTCCCGGTTCCTCTCCCTTCTCTTAGCGCAGTACCACAGGACGGCCGCCCGTCTGCCCATCACTCCCGCGGGATGCGCGCGCCCGCAGCACCTCCGCGCGGAGACCCGACGGGGGGGTAGAGGTGTGTGTGTGTGTGTGTGTGTGTGTGGGGGGGGGGGGGGGGGGGGGGGGGGGTCAGGAAGCACACCTGGAGCCGTCCCGCGGGCTCCTCCCGCCCCCTCGCCTCTCCTTCTCGCCCGCTACGGGCAACCCCATCCCCTCCGCCCGCCCACGCAGCCCCACGGCGCCGGGTCCTGGCGGCACTTCTCCCCCCGCCCCGGGCCGCGCTCCGCTCCCCCTCAGCCCGCCGCTTCTCCCCTCCGTCCAGCCTCCTGTTCCCTCAGAGCCACCTTCCTTCCCCGCCGCTCTAAGCATCCCCGGCGGCGTGGCCTCTTCCCCAGGCCCGCTGCCGAGCCCCCTGCCCACGCCGGGCGCAGCTCCCTCACGCCGACAGCTGCTCCGCGGTCGCCGTCGCCGCCCCTCTTCCCCTGCGAGCCCCCGCGCTCCCGGTCCCCCTCACGCCTCCGCCGGCCCCCTCGCTGAGGGGAAAGGTCCCCCTTAGCCTGCACTAACCTGGTGCTGTCAAGTCTCAGCCGGAGAAACCGTTCCCTTCTGGTGGGATAAACTCCCCGGGCCGGCCCATCCTACCGGCCAAGCACCGCCTCCCTGCCGGGGCACCGCCTCCCGCCGCCGAGGGGCGAGCGGCGCCCGGGGCTGTGGGCGCTGCGCGGGTCGGGGCTCGCGCCGCGGCCGCCGTTGGCGGGAGAGGGGCGGGGGCGGCGAGGCGGGAGCCGGGTCTGAAGCGCGGGGTTGGAAGCCGCCCGGGACGTTCGGAGAGCGAACGGGTCAGTGAGGAGGAGGTGCTCCTTCTCCTTCCTTTCCCCTTTAGACCCGGTCCGTTCACCCGAGCCGGTTCTCTCCGGGTCCGTGCCCGTTAAGCGTAGTCACACGCGGGCACCTCGTGTGAGGACAGAGCGCGGGCCCCGGAGTGGGTCTGGAATTTGATCTCTGCTCTCTCCTGTAACTGAGAATTCAGTTCTTTCCGGCTGCTAACTGCTTTCTCTTTTGCATTCCCCTTCTCCAGCTCACTCCTCTCTGCGCTGCGTGTAGTCGCTCACCTCACGTCAGTTTGTGTCCCGCTGTGACAGGAGTAAATGCTTTTCTGAAAAGATTCTTAGCGGTGACGGAGGTAAATGAAATTCTTTTTCACCCCTAATTTTTTCTTCTTCTTTTATTTTTTTCATCCCCCTTCCCTCCCAGGAATGCAGAAAGAAGTGGTATAGGCTATGCTGGGTAAGTCTCAAGACAGAGCAAGTTCAAACAAGCATGTCACCTCCTATTTCATCCCGAGATTCTTTTATTAAAAAGTTAGATGCTGTAAGTCAGTCATAGGATCAACAGCCTTTAGAGAATCACCATGTAAGTCCAGGTGCCCCAGCACGCAGCTGTTTACCTTTAAGAACTCCTGAGCACTTGGACATCATTAGAAGATTCAGAAGATCCTAAATTTGCCTCATAGTTCTTAGTCATCCAGCGTTTTGAAAGAGTTTGCTTCTATTTGCTTTGTTATTTGTATACTGAAGGCAATTTATAGATTAGAGCTGAATACATCAAATTACCTGGTCTTCTCCCAGATACGAACTGCCTGCGGCGTTTTGTTTATGAGAACAATCTGCAGAGTCTGGAAGCCTTGTGTTAATCTTATGAGAATTATCTATTTGTATGTGCTTGAGGTATTACTTCTGCCTTGGCACATCAGAGAATTATTTTCAGTTTATGCTTTTCCTACTGTCCGAAAATTTTAGGTTTAGAAAAGTGGAAATATTTTTTTTTTCTGGATTTTTTTTTTTTAATACTGCAGTAATACCTATTCAGTAGTGCACTGACTCAGAACTAGAAGCCAGAGGCTGAAAACAAGTAAATCAAAACCTCAGAATTAGTTCAAGATGTCACGGGTGAATAAACAGGCAAATGTGAGTAAAAAATATTACACCAATAAAAGAGTTACAAATACTTAATACTATTTCTAACCACTTTCCAACATCTCGTGTAGAATTTCAGTAGTATATTCAAAGAAGAAGGATTTTAGCTGGACACCTCTACAGCACTAAAGTTTAGTTCTGCTGACAGTAGGAAGAACACTGTTGTCTGCAAAATAGTGGAGAAAATACTTGTCTGATTTAAATGTCAGAATAACACGGGAGCTCTTCAGAAAATCTAGGCTTTTAATGTACACTCTTTTTTAAAACTCCATGAAACTCTGAGCATTCCAGAAACTGGCAAGTAATAATGAACATCTGATTTTGAATATAAACTCATATTTGAGGCTAGACTTCTAATAAGTTCATAATTAAAGGAGGAAAAACATAGCATACTTTGTATTTTACCATTAATTTTAATAAAACTGCATGCATAAATAATACTTCAAATTAAATTACTTGGATGAAATAAAGGCATATCTAACTTAACCCAAAGAAAGCAACCAACCAGAGCTTCCAGAGCTTCCAGAGAATTATTACAAATACTATATCATTTTATTTATGTACAAATTACTTAGGTTTTGCAAATATGTATTTTAGCAGATTGAGACAGGAAAGAAAAAATTACTTCATCTGATTTCCTGCTTAACATGGATTTTTATGTAGTAGTATATGGTGCTTTGTATGTTTTAGAATGACAGTTAATCTTAGTTTGAAGAATCAAAGGATGAAGAATCCATAAATTATCTTTGGCAGTCAAAAATACACCTCATTTATAATTTGAATTAATGGGCCTTCTTTATCAACAAAGACCTTTTTTTTTTTTTCATTTGTGGAAGGTAGGAAGCTTACTGGTTTTGGTTTTGGTAAAGAAAGTGGGTTACTAATATCTATCTCTTCTAAAATGAATTCTAGATATTATTTTTACAGTAATGAAATGGCCATTAGAATGAAATTATCAGTTTCTCTAACAGGTTTTGTTTGGATCATTTTCCTGCACAGTTTTTGATTATAGGGACTTTGTGCCCTACTATCTGAATGAATTCCTAAGCTTGGCTGGGACATTTAAGCACTATGAAGTAAGAATGAAGTATTAAGCTCAGGCCTTCCTGAGTCATGGGCAGTTCTTCCCTAAGTTCAAGGATAAGCAGAAAAGGGCCTCAGCATCAGTTCTTGTTTTAAAATTGGATGATAACTTGTCTTCACGAAAGATCAATTATGTTTTAAAAGAAATGCACCTGAAATTTAACGCATCTGAAAAAAAGTCTTATTTCTGTATAGCGTATACATTACTAATAATTTATTTTGTTTATTACCAAACTTTGAAGCAGACTGACTTGAATCATGGCAAAAATAACCCCACTGAAATGAGAAGGTACTGTGTAAAATCTCAGAATGGGTAAGAGTACTAGTGCAACCCACATGGCCTCCCTTAAACAATTTTATTTTTTGTCCCCATATTAAAGGAATTTTTATGCAACTAATTCTAAGGTATATCAGCTAGGACTTTGAAGCTTGATTTTAGATTACAACACGGAATATATTAAAGAGACTGTCTATGATGCAGTGATTTTTACTATTGGCTTTAAGAGAGTAGAAATTTCTTAAGGATACTGAGGTGAGAAATGTTTTTACTCTCTGCAAATATAGTACTTTCAAATTTACTTATTTTGATGTTCCCGTTATGTCTGTGCTTTAAGTCTCCAGGTATATTAGAGAGGTTTGAAATTACAAATCACACAATGTGTCCTACCTCGGTACATTGGAAAGAATGAAAAACTATCTAGCCAACCTTAACATCTAGAGGGCAATCTCATACTCTAGCAGCATGACTATAAATCTAGCAGTCAGAAGAATAGTTCTGGCTGTGTAAATTGCATTGTTTTAAAGCAAAAGGATCCAAGTAAGCTGAGAAGCTATTCTATTTCTCCGTTTCCTACAGTTACTGTGTCTACTTTATCTAATTTATGTAATTTTTGAATTTATATATCTGCTGTTCTTTTATTGATAACAAGAATTTTGTATTAGCGTATCTTATTTTGTCTTTACTGGCAGTTTTTGGTCTTCTGGGAAGATATTTCTGTAAGAAGTATTTCATAATATTCTGCCACACGCCTATCTTCAGTTTTCACGTTCTTTCTACATACTGTTTTATTTGAAAGGAATCAGGAGTTTAAATTATTATCTGTGGAGTTGAGTGTGGAAACACAGCAAAACCTATGGTATGAAACACAGTTCTTTATGTGATGGCAGAAGACTGCTCCCTTGGGATGATTCCAACTCTCTTTGGAGATCGCACTACGGTATTGTTATGCTGCACTCAGAATGCAGTGCCTTGGATCCAGCAAAAGTGATAGGACTAGGCATAGTGCAGATTTTTCATAGATAACTGTAGAGCGGGTCAAAACAAGAACCCTTTTAACTAAAAATTATCCTCCTTTTCCTGAACTTTGAGGCTTAGATAAAAAAGATCAAAATCCAAATCGTACCTGCTTTAAGTTCTGTAAAGAGGAGATCACATCAGGCTGTGTACCTCTAATTAGAATGGTTATCATTATCTTTCGTCTTTCCCCAACTTTCAACTTCTCTGATTTCTTTTTCTCTGTAAGAGTATGGCATTTTTTAGGACTGACTCTTCTGTAAGAGAATATTATCTTCACGTAATCCCATTCTGATCAGATGGGTCTAAACTGTGTCTCTGAGATTTCAAGCAACAGAATATACAGTAATAAAGCATAAAAATCAAGCATACACTACTACCATCAGATCTGCTTGTAGATCAGAAATTGGTTTCTGAAGGAATCATCATACAAAATGTTTATGGTCTTTTTGAGTTTCACTTAAAAACATTTTATCCTAATTCATTCTGTGGTTAAGACAGATTTATGAATGTAAATGATCCAATGTTTGAAAATGAGATTTCTACAACTGTACATATTTAGACATCTTAAATTAGTAGCTGATGCAACCAAGATTTAGAGTTGTGCTAATATAGTATGGGAAGAGGGTGGCTAGTCTTGTGGTTAAAGCATGGGACTAGCTGCTGAGAGGTCTGTGTTCTATTCCTGGTTGTGTCACTGACTTCCTGTGGGTCACTGGCGAAGGCACTTAGCTGTGGCTCATTTTACTCATATATGAAGTGGAAATAATACTTTTATTACTAAAATGGTGTGAGACTGGAGTCATTAGTATTTATACAATTGCTTCGTGCTCATTGATGGATTTGGCATATAATTGTATCAGCAGGTCAAAAAACATATCAGTAATGTAATTAGCTTCATGCAATTTGCTGTTTCTTTCTCACAAAACTATTCGTTGATTCCAGTAAAGAAGACCATAAACTCCTAAGTGCAAAGTGTAACTGAAAATATCTAGAAACTTTGCTTCCAGGTTCAAAATAAAGTGTTTCTTCACAAAGAGAATTTAATTTTCTTTTTAAGAGTGTGAGGAAAGCATATTTATTCCCTAATAATTTTTTTTCTTTCAAAGTTAACTCTGTCCTCCCATTGTTTCTTTTGGAAGATTGCATGAGGATCACTCGATACTTCCATTTCCTATAACCTTTGTCCTGTTTTATGGAATTGGTTTCAAATACTATTTTTAAAATCTCTGCTTTTTACATATTTTACCCTAGTCTCTAGGGTGCTCCAGATAGCTGTCAGAAATACCATTGCTCAGCTAAGTGATGATTCTGTAGAAAAGCAGTATGCACTGCTACCACTAAATCCCAGTGAAAGTCATTGAATCAAGAGCATCTCCTAGCATACTATCGAGCCATAAGAATTAGTTTCTTGGCAATTCAGTCCCTGTGGGATGGATCTCAATTTGATATCACAACTTTGATTTCCACTGCCGAGAGAAATGATAGAGGATTTTAAAGTGAAGATTGTTAAGTAGATCTGTTTGTTTTTTCAGATGTCTAATAAATTAGTTTAATATGCTTAGATACATATAAACATTTAAACATTTTGCAGTTCTTTAGGACAGATATAGATCTTAAAGTCTAAAAAAGAATTAGAGCCATTTGGACAATTATATAGTTGTTTTTTGTTTTGTTTTTTTTCTTTTTAAGACTGTGAGGAAGGGGTATTTATTCCCTCATAATTTTATTTTATTTAAACAGTTAACCCCTTAACAATATATTTACATGGAATACTTTTCTCAGTTGTTGCAGCAGTAGGGTATCTTTCAATAACACAACCAAAGGGTA